ACCCACCACAAGCTGGTCCACAGAACAAATTTCAATGCATTTTGAAGCAATAAAACCACAAGGGAGATGTTATCCTGACCGAAGTGTAACAAAATCAGGAGGAAAAAGCAAGGCAAGTGAGAGAAAACACAGCTCACCAGCGTCTGCACGTGGGGGCATCACAACAGCTTCAACAGGCATTTTGAAGTGGCAAGAGGGCACGAAATACAACAGTCATGAACTCAAAAACCTAAGACAAAATGAGCGCGTTCCGTGGGGGAGGCGGGGAACACAAGTTACTAAAGGGCTGCCTGAGTGAGAAGGTGTCTGGGAGGAGTTAAGGGGAGGAGGAGGAAGTTGACACGATCAAAATACATTGTGTGTGTGTGTGTGTGTGTGTGTGTGTGTGTGAGTCTGAAATTCTCAAAGAATCAATAGAAATGTTTTTAAAGCAGAAGTCACCAAAACCTGTGCAAGAGGAAATAGAAACTCTTGGTATCTCTGCGTCTATTAAAGGAATTGCATTTGTAATTTAAAATATCTGCGTGCACACACAGAAGCGCCAGGTCCAGATGGCTTCGCTAGTAAATTCAATCAAGCATCAAAGTCAAAAATTATACTATGTCTATACAAACTCAGAAAACAGAGACAGAGGAACCGTCTTACGACTCTTTTTTTATGAAGACGCAATTCCAATACCAAAACTTCAAAAGATATTTTAGGAGCCAAGCATGGTGCCTCAAGCCTGTAATCCCAACTGCCTGAGGGGCAGCTCCTGGGGTAGAGGTCATTTTGAGCCGCAGAGTTCATTCAAGACTAGCCTAGGCTAACCAAGATCATATAAAAATGTTATAAGAAAAGCAAACATGACATCCTTCTTAAATACAGATGCAAAGCTCCTTTGGAAAATATTTGCAAATTAGCCATAGTAAAATGTAAAGAGAATATACATCACTAGCAAGTAGGGTTTCTCCTGGGCCTGCAGGTGGCTTGCACATCTGTAATCAATCGACGCCTTTCACCATAATAGCTGGATGAAGGCGGGAAATCATGTGATCTTCTTTCTAGGAGCAGGAAACACCTTTGTCAAAATGTAATAGCCTTTAATGATTTTCTCTAAAGGGAAAAAACCGAGGGTCTGGGGAGATGCCTCCACGGTTAAGGGTGCTTACGGCTCATGCTAAGGACTCAGGTTTGGATCCCAGCACCCACTTGGTACTTCACAATTGCCTGTAACTCCAGTTCAGGGGACCCTAAGCCCTCTGTTGGTGTCTCCAGGCTCCTTCGTGTGCCTGATTTTCATAGAGACACACACATAAACATAATTTTTAAAGTTTTAATTAGCAAACAAAAAAATTTTTTTAAACTACTTTTTCTAGCAAACTAGAAATAGAACTTTTCTCAATGCAACAAAGGCAGCTAATAAAAATGAATATTGAGCATACTTAATGGCACATGAGGGAGGCAGAGGCAGGCAGATCTCTGAATTTGAGCCCAGCCTGGTTTATCGAGTGAGTTCCAGACAGTAAGGGCTACACAGGGAAACCCTGTCTTGGGGGGTGAGGAACATATTTAATAGAGAAATAATAAGCTCCTTCCTTTAAAGAAACAAGGCCAGAAAATAACCATCCCATCTGGGGTTTTTTTCCCCCAACATCACATTGAAATTTTTTAAGCAAAACAATGGGACAAAAATGAAAACCGTAAGCAAAGAAATAAAATTTGAGCTATCAAAAGGAATAAGCTATTGATACACTCAAGAACATGAATAGATGTCAAGAACATTTTGCTGAGAGAAAGCCGCCAGCCACAAAGGAATACACACTCTGTTATTCTATTTATATGTGATCCTAGAACAGATAAAACTCATTTATAAGGACATAAGCAGACAGATGGTTGCCTGAGGGATGGCAAATGGGGGTGCGGGTGACCAGAAGTGGGGAGCTCTTGAGGAGATTAGATGTGTTCTGGGTCCTGATGATCATGATTACCACAGGGATATGTATTTTCTTCAAAATTCACTCAAGGCTGGAGAAACAGCTCAGCAGTGAAGAGCGCTGGCTGCTCTTCCAGGATCTGGTTTCCAGTGCCCACGTGGTAGCTCACCAACTCCAGTTCTAGGGGATCTGAGGCCCTCTTCTGGCCTCAGTGGGCTCCAGGTACTCACAGGACACACATTCATACATGCGAGCAAAGCACTCAAACACATAAAATAGATGAATCTAAAAAAAAAAAAATTAATTCATGCAGTCATGCATTAAACTTGATCTATGTTATCCTATATAAATTATGCATTCATAAAGTTGGTTTAAAAGCAGTAAAAAAAAAAAAAAATAGACACCATTAAGAAAAAGTAAAACCCAGACTATCGGGAAAAGCTATATCCTTCACATTTGGCTCAGACCTTGAATTCAGATGATTCTTCCAGAGAATTCCAGCATCTTCATAGTAAAGACAGAGAATGAGCAGGGTTTCTTAATGGGCAAAAGTCTCAAACATATGTCACCAAAAAAAGTAATATATGAATAACTGATAAAAACGTAAAGTTGTGCTCAAAATCACCACTTGTCGGGAAACTATAAACAGAAAGACAGAATTGCTACAGCTGAGTCCTCTCCCCCGCACCCCCCCCCAAAAAAAGGACTAAAACCAACAAGAAGACAAAGTCAAGAGCTAGCACGGACTGGAAATAAGATGGCGGAGGGCTGGGCAGATAGCTCAGCTGGTAAAGGCACCTGCGACCAAGCCTGACAACCTGAGTTTGATCCCTGGATCCCACCAGCCAGTTCCTGCAAATGGTCCTCAGACCTCCACACATCCACATGGCATGGACACCCAAACACAGACACCCACATGCAATAAATAATAGATAAGTGTTTTTAAAAGGCAGAACCATGGTAGACCACAGTTGGACCATTTCTTATAAAATTATACTCATAACTAATTTATGAATCAGAATCAGCTATTCCACTCCTGGCCATTCACTCGAGAGAAACTAAAATGTCTGCAAAAATGAATTATAAATGTATACTAAGCTGGGCCTTGTCACGCGTGACTGTAATCTAGCACTTGGGAGATGGGGACAGGGCCATCTGGAGGTCAAGAGAACCTTTAGCTACACAAGTTTGAGGCCAGCCTGTGCTATATGAGACTTTGCTTATAAAATAAGTAATTAAATAAATACTCACAGGGCCTTTTTCATAATTACCGAAATCTAGGATCAATCCATCAAGTGAACGGATAAATAAGCGGGGCTGTGTTCATAAGCTGAAGACAGGCTCAGCAAAAGAGGAACGAACTCCAGGTGGGGCCCCTTGTGGAACAACCGCAAAAAATCATCGTAATTGAGTGAAAGCAGCAGGAAAAGTGCCTGGGGAAAACTGTCACCTCTCTTGCTTGATATAGTGTTTACTCGGGTGGATGGTACACTTTTGACGAGAACCCATACTGTGCACTTAAGATGTTGAGTGTGGCTGGTATGGCGCCTCGTGCCTTTAACCCCAGCACTCGGAAGGAAGAGTCTCTTGTAAATTCAAGGCCGACCTGGATTACAAAGTGAGTTCCAGGACAGCCAGAGAGCTACCTGGTGAGACAGACCCTTTCTCAGAAAAAAAAAAAAAAAAAAAAAAAGACCTCCCCCCCAAACAAGATTTGTGTGCATCTGTGCATGTGTGGGATCATATTTCTGTGTGTGTCTGTGTATGTGTGGGTGGGTGGGTGTATGTGTGTGTCTGTGTGTATGAGTGTGTATGTCTCTGTATGTGTGTGTGTGTGTGTGTGTGTGTGTGCGCGCACATGAGGATGAACATGGAAGATCAGGATTCACCCTCAGGCATCACCCTCAATTTCCGCCTGTTTGAGACAGGGAATCTTGTCGCTCTCCACCGTGTGCCACGCCAGCTGGCCTTCAGGCTTCCAGGTTCCTCGTTTCCACTCTCCATCTCGTCGTGGTAGTGCCAGGATGCGTGCTGCCACTGCGACAGACTCTACACAGGTTCTAGGGACCCACGTTCAGGTCCTCACACTTGCGTTGCAAGCGTTCCATCCAGTGAGCTAGCTCCCCAGCCCCAAATTTGTACGTTTTCTTGTTTTCCTTACTCTTCCATTTTAAAAGGAAAACTGGGTGGGAAGAGTTTGCTTCGGCTCGTTGAGAGTAGCAGAGCAAGTGCCCCATGGCCGCTCATCCTCCTGCCCGTCACCCCCCCGTCCCCCCCCCCGTCACTCTCAATCTATGGCGGCTGGGCCTCAGAAAATAGAAGTGACACCGTCCCCAGTGGGATGTCATCCACGGCATGATCAGGTTGTACCCTGATCCTTGGCTCTGATCCTCCCCGGGACTTCTCCTCCAGATCTAGGTGCGGGGTTCCTGTTTTCCCAGCCAACAGGGTAGAATTTTAGATGCGTCATTCCATGTGACACAAGACGACACTGATGTGAAAAGACACGGCTTGGATAGCAGACGACAGGGACGGGGCTGGAGCAATGGCTCAGCCATAAAGAGTGCTTGCTGTTCTTGTAGAGGACCGCAGTTCGATTCCCAGCACCCCCATGGTGGCTCCCAAACATCTGTGACCCCAGCTCCAGGGGACCCGATGCCTTTTTCTGGCCCCTGCAGATACATGCATCCACATGTGTTCATACTCACAGGGACACACATGGATACACACATTCACACAAAAAAAAAGAAGAAAGAAAGGAAGGAAGGAAGGAAGGAAGGAAGGAAGGAAGGAAGGAAGGAAG